CATACATTATATGACTCAAGCAAGTTTTTGAGACGCCTACTATCTTTATCGTATCATGCCCTGCTTCAATTGGCTGTCTGCCAATATAAGATCATCGACTTTGTTACGCTATTCTCAATTGTAGCCATATTCAGAGACGCTCATCAAAAACAAAGATTCGACCATATTGTAGCTCATTAAAGCAATTTTTGACGTTCGCCATCGAAGGAGTCACCGCTTACAACTTCAACTTTACATTTCACTGCAAAAATCAAGAATCGTATCACGCATTTTCCATTTTTCTTAAATCCGCAGATAGATGTTGTAATCACAATATCAAATCTACACATGACATTGACTGCCAGTCTTTCTGTTAATTTAGTATAGCAGAATATAACACATACTCATGGAAGATCTCGGTCATTTTAAGAAACCTGTATTTGCTTAATTTTTCCAAAACATAGTCAACCGAAGTGCCTTATAACAAAAAATTGTATATGAGAGCAAAGTGTTCAACTCTGTTTTCTTTTTTTTAATATTTCCTTTATGTTCAATTCGTACAATGTACTTTAAAAAGTTGCCCATAACAGGAATGCTGTTTCCGCCCATCAACATGCCTTGGAAATTGCATTGCTTAAAGCTGGTTTGGTCTGGTTGTGCTGGTTTTGACTACAAAAACCTGTCATCGCAATGTAATTGCTCCATTTAAGATTTCAATGCTCACAAACAGAAATTTAATTTACTGCACTACCCTCGCTTCGAAACTCTGCGCCAACAGAAACATGCTACTTAATCGCTAATAGGTCGTCTTAATTCCGCGTTGCTGTTGTAAATTAATCGCTTCATCCCCAAGTAGTTAATTATATCATAAATTTATATATATACATATTTGCATACGTACACTGTTTTTCTAAATAATCAAAACTCTATTCGTTGCACTGATATATGTACATATGTAATGCTTAGTGCATAGTGAAGTGGTGAGCAAAGAAAGCAGCGCTTAACAAAATCCAGTCAAATCTTTTCATAATAATTTTAATGCACATTTGCTCTTTTTTCGCGCTCTTCCGCTTGTTGGTTCCATTTGTGCTTGTCAATTTTCATATATTCCTCTTTTTCTTTTTTACTGGTGTCCACTTTTTTGCGCAAACTCTTAATTCAGTGCTGGTCAGCTGGGCGTATACGTAATGTTTGACGATGCATTGAAATTAAGATATCGAATCTCAGAATGAAAATTGGGCCTGGCAGTGAACGAGGGCAAGACCAAATATCTGCTGTCATCAAACAAACAGTCGTCGCACCCACGACCTTCCTCTAACGTCACTATTGACAGTCATAACTTTGAAGTCGTAGATAATTTCGTCTATCTTGGAACCGGCGTAAACAACGCCAACAATGTTAGCCTGGAAATCCAACGAAGGATAACTCTTAACGACTGGTGCTACTTTGGACTGAGTAAGCAATTGAGAAGCAAAATCCTCTCTCGACGAACAAAAACCAAAATCTATAAGTCGCTCATAATTCCCGCCAGGGGAAGCAGAGGAAGACCCCCGCTCCCTTGGAAAGACCAAGTGGAGAAGGAGCTGGCTTCGCTTGAAATATCAAATTGGCGCCACGTAGCGAAGAGAAGAAACGACTGGCGCGTAAACGGCGTCTACGCCAGTAAAGAAGAAGAAGACATGATTGTAATATAACATTTGTATATATTACAATTATATTTTCTAAAGCATGTCACAATACTGGAAAAATGTTTATTATAACATTATATAATATAATTTATAATTGCGTTAGGCGCTTCTGAATATTGCAGTGTACAAGTCGTTTGCAAAGTTGGTTCAAACGTACGAGCAATCATTGAAATTTTTTAAGGAAATTAGATCAATCCCTTCAATGGGTTCCATCTATCCATCGAAGAGCACAACCAATGCAAGTTAAGTTGGGATTGAAGGTGCAATTTAAAAATATTTAAAAAGAAAGGTGCGAAAAATTGTCGTCTTAGTATAAACGCTGCGCATGGTAAATTTTTAATAATAATTTGTTGTTTTGTTGCGAAAGTTAACTTGATGACTATCTCAATAACTGGCGGAAATAAATGGAAGCAAAACGAAGTGTCTTCCTTAAGTTGTGGAATTATAGTGCATTCCTACGATTACCTCAGTAGCGGAAGTTATACTGGTATGGTTCAAAGCTGAGTTTTGTCGCGATGGAAAAGGCAAGTCGGTACAGACTGACGAAAAGTTTCTAACGAAACTTAAGTACATTCGCAGACGTTTAAGCGAACAAATGACTATTACTGTGTAAGGAAGACAAAATCTGCCATTTTTTCCAAGTAAATAGAAAAAGCAAGGCAAATTTGTGGCCTTACATTAAGCAATTTTTTCATCTAAATACTTCCCGGTTCTGCACTGATGTCGGGAAACTGTAACATGGGATACCACAAATTTTTGCTTGAAAAATGGGATTATGAATCGTCGGAGTATTTGGCTGTCTTTGACTATCTCCAAAATTTCCTTGCGAAGAATTATCGCGATAATCTTGGATCCCAGATAATGGAGATGCTTATGGACATACAAAAAGTGAATCCGGAGTATGTATATGAAATATTACAGACAGGAATGGAATTAAGAAATTTAGAAGTCCCTACTGTAGAGTCAGAAGATTTGGGTGACATTGTTCCTCCATTAAAACATTTTCGCCCAATGGCTCATCAGGCGGATGCACTATCTGATGGAGAATTTTTGGAATTTTTGAGCTTTAAAGTCGAATATCTCGTAAAGTAAGCGTTTGCAGTACCTATAACCCTATATATGGTAATTTTGAATCAGGTGGGCTTCCTCTTTTCAACGGCACCTTCATATTGCGGCACCAAAGAAATAGAAATTGTGCCTAGAAAGCTTTTTTGATAACCTCTAATTTTGAATCCTGTTATTTAATTTTAAATTAATTCATATAGAAAATTATATTCTGGTGGCAACAATTTTCCAAGTTATACATACCTAAAAGTAAATAATGGCACATATTTCACATTTTCAACGAATTTTTACTAGTTTTCTAATATCATTTATTTAAAATTTCAATATATTTAAAAACATACATATGTACATATGTACATATATATACTTCACGTAAAGTGGCAACTGTGGGAAATATTGTTTGTTGCCGAGATTGAAAATTTGCATTGCTTTTACTTTTGATTTACAATATGTACACTTGGTCAACTTTTTTGTTTTACTTAAAGAAAAATTCTATAAGTCTGGCAACCCTCTTCTAATACAAAACCTAAACAAAAATCGTTATGAATATTTTTTTCTTAACTTTGTCCTATAACTTCTAATAAATTTGCCATATATGTACATATATATGATGAAAAAGAATTAATAAGGTGGCAACTTCATTAAATATTTTTTCTAAAATTTCAGCCGTATTTCAGTATGTGTATAACGAAAATTTTTTCTATTTTAGGTAGAAAAGTTTTTTAACTTAAATGCATACATATGTATGTACCAGAGAACGGCATCGGGTGAATGAAAAACATTCGTACGCGCTCAACAGCCGAATAATCACACTGCTCG